GACCCCCAGAGGAGCTGGGGGCGATGCCCCAGCGTGGGAGCCGGGTAAGACCTGGGGGCTCCGGACCCTGCTTCTGGGGTGGGGTTCAGCCCCCTGCCAGGGCGGGCTGGGGGGTACAGGGGGGCAGGACCAGCACAGGGACACACACGGAAGGAGAAGCCTCTTTACTGTCATACAGGGAGGTCCAGGCACCAGCGCAGGCTCAGCCCTTTGGCCCGAGGAGCTGCTGCGGTAGCCACCCTCGCACCAAGGGACAGCAGGACGCCCCCGGACCCTCTGCGGGGCTGGATGTGGCCAGTGGGTTTAGCCCCTGCACTGCACTCCGCCCTGGCACAGCAAGTTCACTGATGGCATGTGATGCCAGGACGTGGACCCTCGCCTCCTGTCCTGCCGGTGTGGGATCCATGGGGTCGGTGCACATCGGTCAAGAGGAGCGCAACCCCCTCACAGGCTGCGCTCCTGGCTCAGGCGCTGCTGCAGGAGGTCCCAGGCCTTCTCCACCTGCCAGAGAATCCACATGGGGCAGCACCTCAGAGCCCACGGCCAAGCCAGGGACAAGGCGAGTAGCACCAAGGCACAGGCAGGGGCATCACATGAGGGTCCCATGCTCCCTGTCCCTTCCCTGCTGCATTTACATCCCCGAATTCATCCCCCATGGCCATGCCCGGAGGCAGCCTCAATGGGGAGCAGCACCCCATGCATGACCCAGGCACAGCACTGAGCCCTCCATCATGGTCACCCGCCTCACCCTTCGCCGCCCGAGGCAGACCCCAGTGCTGCAGCCAGCCCGGGGCTCACCTGCTTGCGGGTGACGTCCGGCTCCCAGAGCGTGCACAGCACCACCTGCGACTGCTCCACCCTTTGGCTGTTGGTCATCTGGCTCTGCAGCCGGCTGCGAGCAGCCTCCTCGCTCAGCCCGTCCCTGGCCATGATGCGCTTCACAGCCTGGCAGGACCAGAGGGGACGCTCAGGCGCTCGGTGGGGAAGCCGAGAACCAGCCCCAGCAGCAAGCGACGGGCCAAGGGGCATCACCCACCTCTTCCTCCGGGATGATGGCCGTCCACACCTCATGGACCATGTCTTGCCAGCCAGCCTCCAGCAGCACGGCAGCGTCCAGCACGCACACGGCCTTTCCTACGGAACGAGGCCATTCCTCATTACCTGGCAATCGCGAGGCAGCGCAACTGCTCCTCGGGATCCAACCCAGCCAGTCCACTTATACTGGTGGAGTCACGTCTTCCTGCAAACTGGCAGCACAGATGCTTTACTGCTGAGCCAAAGAACTTCACGTGGAAAAGACAGCAGCAGGCAGAGGTTACATTTGCTTAAAGGGCACGCCTGGGATGGCAGGTCTCCCGGGCACGGCAAGCCAATGCCTTCAGCCAAATGCCTATCAAGCTACCAACAGCATCTCCCAAGAGCTGGAAAAATTCTGCTCCCAGAAGGAATGAACACCAGCTTACTGCTGGAGCACACCACCAAAAAATGAACTTGGAAGTCATGTGGGAAAGGGAAAGCCACCTCCACCCACCCTCCTTCAGAGCAGGAAGCTTGAGGTAAGCCTGTCCTCGCTGCAGGCCCAGCTCAGAGACGTGACAGTGAAGATCCCCAGCAAGCTTCCCCGCAGAAGTGGCTGGGGGTCTGAGCACGGAAGATACAGTGCTGCCAAAAGCAGCAGATTCCCAGGGGCTCTGGGTCATGGTGTGCTACACAAGACCACGCACCCAACTCCCACCTTTGTGCTGCAATGGCAGCCACCCCAGTTACCTTGAGCATCTGCCTCCCTTATCTGCTCCTTGACCATCTGGGCCATCTCAGGCCACACAATGTCTGTGAGACTCTTCAGTCGCTCCTAGAAAGGACCATGACGGGATTCGGTTACTTGCCCTCAGAACCCCTGGGAAGCCACCAAGGGGATCGCTGGTGGCAGTGGCAGTCACAGAGGGTACCCAGAACTTGCTGAAGCATAGGGGTGGACCTGGCCCATCGCCTGCCCGCTAAGTGCAAGGAAGGAAAGCTCCACGCTGGCCAGATGCTCCCACACCTGCTGATGGGGTCAAGGCTCGTTTTCCTATTACTTTCCTTGCCCTGCCAGACACAGCAGAACCTTGGTCTGCGCTTTGCAAAGACCCACCCAGCAGGGCAGCGAGCTCCCCACACAGCAGCACCCACGCGAGACCCATCCGTCTTGGGGGCAGCCCCTTGAGTTGCCTTTCACACTTGAGCTGGGGCAGCCCGCAGGACCTGAGGGAAGGGCTGAGCACTGGCCTGGCCAACAAAGCCAGGCACAGAGGGTCAGGTTTGGCTACCGCACCACCAAGCTCCACTGGCTACAAGCCCAAACGACGCAAGGGTCAGAGAGCACCACCTCCGCATACGTCAGGGCTGTTGCTCCGTGCTGGGTGAAGGACAAGCGTGGGACAGAGGGGACAGGGAGGCAGCAGCAGCTGCTGGGGCACAAGGAGCGTGTCCAGCACGGCTGCTGACGGCTACAGAGACAGGATCTCCGTGTCCTGCCCTGTCCGTACGTCACTGCCAGAAAGTACAGTCAGGAAGGCGTCATCAGCTCAAAGGGCTGAAAAATAAAAGGCCTCAGCAAAGATGGAGAGCTCCCCGCTCACGAGATTAAATATTGACAGTCTCTGTGCTGCTCTTACCTGGTTTCCAAACACTTTGGCCCCAAGGACTTTCCTGTTAATCGTCCCATCTTCATTCAAGATTTCTGCAAGACAGAAGCAGAACAGGCTTGGGAGGAATGAATCCAACTCACTGCCCTGCGGCAAGCCTAGGTCAGAGCGAAAGGAGAGCACGGGGCTCTCAAAGGGATCCAGAAAGGAGCTGTAGGACCTGACCTGGCAGCTCTTCACCTTACTCCAGAAGAGGACAGGGAGGAGCTTTTCCTAAACAAGCCCGGTTTATCCTTCCACACCAGCCAGTTTACAGTAGCTCTGGCATGGGACATGCAAGACTTGGGGAAGGCAGTGGTTTGCCCCACTCGGGGCCAACCATCACGGAATCGGCTACAGAGCCCTATCTGGGTGGCGTGGAGCCCCAAAACCCACAGGGAGGGAACGGAGCACAAGCCAGGACGGCTCCCTGGGACGCTAGGATGATGGTGCACCCGTCCCTCCTCTTCCTCCTCCCAGTCTTCCCTGCAGCCCTTGGTGGCTCTACCTGCCCCAAAGGCTGCCACCACCTGCTTGTAGGCAGGGCCACCGGGGACATAGACGGCGTGGCCCAGCTTGTCAGCGTCGATGAGGAATGCTCCCAGGTGCCCCAGGAGTTTGGCGATGGAGGTTTTCCCACTCCCGGTTCCTCCAGTCAGGCCGATCACGTACGGGCGCGAAGGCAAGGCAGGGTCTTGCTAAGGGAAGAAGAAAAGCTGTTGCCAGCAGACGGACGAGGCAGGCTCTGCTGGAGAAGGATCCCAACCACCCGGCCTGGAGATGGGCATGAAAGGTCCCGGCCCTGCAGAGCAGGAGCCTGCTCCTGCCGGGAGCCAGTACAGGCAGCAGGCAGGCAGCCCTCCGAAACTTGTCCCCCTGCAGCAGGGGGCTGAGCTGGCTCTTCAGCTCCCAAGGCTGCCACCCCTCCTTCTGGGGACATTGCTCCCATTGCACCCCGCTGCTCTCCCAGCAGCCCCCCT